ACACACACACACACACACTTCCCAAGAGACTTGCTTTAAGGGGCCAGGCTTCCCCTGGGCTGGGGCTGGGGTATTAGTCACACAGTCACAGCGGGCTGAGCATGAAGCTCCCAGGTTGAGCAATCGCTGGAGGCCATGGTGATCTGGAGCTGAGTGTGGGTGGCAGCCCTGGTCTGAGCTACTGGGGTTTGGAGTGTGATTCGCTGTAGATAAATGTTTAATTCTGTTGAAAGAGGAAGCCCATTTTATTCAGCCATGAAATTAGGATTTGCAAAAAACTCGAACACAGCCTCTATTGTGTGACATTAGTTTTTGTTTGAATTTGAGTTATTTTCTTTGCGATTTTTTTCTTGTTGTTTTGAACCTTTAATTTAGTGAAATATGTGTTAGTTTAGGTTGCAGGACAAATATGCTTATTTAACTAGGTGAATCAGTCAGTAAAAGAATGAACAGATGTAGCCACATGAGTATGTCATCGCACACAGTGAAGCATGGGCTGTAGGACCTTGATGGGTGTGGCTGAAATGTCTGGAAATAGGAATCTGGTGCACCTAGTTCTGCATCTACCAGACTGATGACCACTGGGCCATGCCCTATGTGTCTTCCTCACTCCACAGGAGCCCCTGGCAGGATGGGGCACCTTCACCTCTCCTCCTACCCACCACTCAGCAGGATCAGCATTTCTAATGTCATTTTCCTGCCTGAAGAGTCAGCTTTGGTATCATCCTGTCCGGGGTTCAACCGGTCAGGGAAACCTACCCTGGGGGATGCTGATGGGGTGAACTTCCTAGATGGGAAGCCCATTCTTCTTTCTAGCTGGTCTGACCCAGAGATTCCTGGGGCTGCAGCAAGATAAAGATAACCCTTACCTTGGGCCTCCCTGCACTTTAGACCCCAGCTTGCCTCTTGAGGGAGATGAATGGAGGAAAATGATGGGAAATTGTTGTGACAGGGAGCTGATCCCAGAGGAAAGAGGATCCCCACTTCCTGTCTGACATCCACAGTTTAGTCTGTTTTGCAGAAGAGCAGCCCAAGCTATGAAATGTGCTTGAAGCCCACAGTGTTAGTCCCTTCTGAGCATCAACTACTTTTGGTACATGCAAGAATCAGAACTAAATGAAGATTTAGCTTTCATTGGGTCCTGTATAATCATCTGTTACTTAGAAGGTTTAGACAAGTCTTTGAAAGGCTTCAAACCATTTTGCAGATAAGTGTCAGCTCTGTCCTCAGCTGGAACCCCAGAAGCCTTCCACAGACATCCTCTCTCCATCCTGACCTCTGACAGCTGGGCCAGAGGAAGTGACCAGTGACACTTGAGCGGTGTGTGTCTCGGAAATGGAGTATGTGTCTGGCATGGTTTCAGCAGGAGGCAGGATGGTTAACCCGGTTCTATTACTTCCTGTAATAGGGACACGTTTCTCTTAAGGCTTCATTGTCTGTGCTTACAAAATTCTTCACGTGATTTCCCTCACTGGGCTCTCGTGAAAGTTTTAATGAGATGGGCTATGAAGAACATATAGCACATTCTTCCTGCTATTCAGTCAACAGATTCTTTTAGAAGGTCTAAAAATAGGCATCAGGTACCATTCTAGGAATAAAACAGTGAACAATCAGCAAGGTCCTTAAATTTATATGTAGGATAACTAGTGTGCAGAGCTCCCAGATACTTCCCTGTTTGCATTTTTCTAGCACTGTTTAATATCCAAGGTAAGTGGATACCCACTACATGCTTGGCGCTGCTCCAAGCTTGCACACTTGTAACGACGATGGCAAACAAGCGAGGCTTGCAGGTGTCACTGTGCAGCAGCCTATTTTTCTCTTTTGTTGTGGTGCTGGGAATTGAGCCCAGGGCTTTGTGCATACTAGCCAAGTGCTCTGTCACTGAACTCCAATCCCAGCCTAGCACCCTTATTTTTGAGCCCTACTTCTTCAGACTCGTACTGTTCGGTGTTTTTTCCCCTGCCCTGTGAAGGAAATTTGAGGCTGACCCCATAACTTTCCTGGTCTCTCTCTGGCAGTGAAATCCCTTGGCTACTCTTGTCTCCCCAAACACTCTGCATTCTGTAATTAATGTGTGCAGTTCCGAGTGATGGTTATAACCGCCCAAGTCCATGAGCTCAAGGTCCTTCTTCCCTTGCCTGTGCTTCCAGGCTCTGGTCAGGCTGGAAACCAGTGGGGGCAGGGCATGGCTTCCCGTCCCTTCCAGGCCCCTCCCTGGGACGTGCCAGCCATCTTTTAAAACTACGTACACTGATACGTTTATTTTGTCTTATGGCCTCTGGGAGTTCTACGTCACCTCCCTCAAGTTTTGACCAGGAATTATTCCAAGTACACCACTGATAGTCCTTGAGAATTATGATTGAGATACACGTAAAAGCTTTATGTAAATAGTCTGGAACTCTTGACGAGAATTTTGGAAGCAGAGTCCATGTTCCAGGGATTCCTTCACAAAGACACTCACGAAGTCAATCAGTTGCTCACCCCGGCTTCCTTGGCACCTCCTACTATGTAGAGGCATGTTTTACACTTCTGTGCCCTTGGTGTAACTATGTATTCGGTCTGTCCCCAGCCGGTACACACTTACTCCAGGCCTTGGGGTTGCCTCTCTAGTTCACACTTAACCTCCTCAGGGTGAGGACCTTTGTCCTGCCTCTTGTGGTCTGCTGTCCTCTTGCATCCTGGGTAGTGTACATGTGGCCCATGCCAGCCTCTCCATCTCCATATTTTCCCTGGCTCCCGTTGCCTTGATAGAGTCCCCATAAACTTTTTAGGTCCTCATTCTTGTCATCACCTTTATCTCCCTATTTTCTTTCTCAAAGGGTCTTCCCGCAGCTACCAGGGCCAAAATTCCCCCTGCTTCAGCCCAACTTCTACTCAGTCTTCATAGCCCAGTTTAAGACAGCCCTCCTTGATTTCACTAAGGCGTTCAAATCCACCTAATATTGACTTTTCTACTATTGTCCATCTCTTTGGTAATGCTTATCACTCTTGTCACTTTATACAAAGAATGTTTGGGTTCTTGTCTGTGTCCCTCACCATCTAAAGGTTCACAGAGGCACATTCAGGTTTTCCTTCTCTTTTCTCAGCTCTGGGTTCCAATGGTGCCTCTGTCACTTACTGTGTGATCAGGTTGGGCCACTCCAACTATTCTGTGCTTCAGGTTCCTTATGTGTACCATGAGGTTAAGAATAGAGATTATCTCATAAGGTTTTATGGGGATTAAATAAGATAAAATTTGTGAACTGTTTAGAGCAGTTCTGGAGACTCCTAAAGTACTATGCAAATATTTATTAGATAAAAATCAGATGAAAAAAATGTTTCAATAATGGATAAGGAAGATGAGTCAACATAGCTTCATGCTGTATTTCAGGAGTTCTGATTTCTTCCGTGATGTCCTGGTGAGATGCATCGCAGTCACATCCTCCCAAGACATAGCAGGTGTTAAAGGCATGGCCTGGAGGTCTTCTTAAGTCCCTGGCAGATACCCAGCCCTGTCCCATTTCTAGGGCTAGGAACGCTTAAGAGTCTCTGTCAAGGGAGGGTGACTCAAGGCATAAGCCTGCAAGAGTTCCCAGACACAATTTTTCAGAAAGAGTTTCTGGGAAAACCAAGACCATCAGTGGGCACTGGAAATATCATTCTGCAATTTTCTGCCAGATCTGTAGCTTGGTCTGCTCAGGAGAGGGACAGCCCATTGGATTATAGGACACGTCCGAGGCTCTTGACACAATTAATGATCTTATTCTTGTCATGCCTGCAGATGGTTAAAACTGAAACACAGAAATTATGCAACAGATCCAGTCACGTAGCTCGGGTGAGACAGAGCTGGGTCAGATCTCCAGACTCTAGACTTACGTTTAATCCGATGAGATTCATGGTTGTGCTGTTATCCCAGCACGGACCTTGTTTAATTACAGAAGCTGTTAACATAATTTCAGAGTTGTGTGGTCCGGGACTCCTTGGTCATCTGGTAAAAATGACATTACCAGGAAATGAAAGTACTGAATCAAGGCTCTGGAGAAAGTGTGTGTCTGGAGAAAGTGTGCGTCAGGATCAAGTAGGAAAACAAAGAACCAAAGAAACAAAGAAACAAACACATTTAAGGAAGAAAACAGGACAGAACACCACAACAAGATTAGAAATGATCTGTGTACATTAGCAAAAGAGAAACTGCTGTACTGGCGGCTGAATACAGGACAGGGATGTTACTGCTGTACTGATAGCTTCTAGGTCATACTGAGGGGTGGCCTTCAACACTGGAAGTAGCATGCATTCAGAAGAAGCATTTTGTAATTGCAAGTTTGCATCTATGTTTGAGTATTTGGTTATCTAGGAAGTTTTTTAAGGTTTATGAAGATCCAAAAGAAGTTGGAAGAACTATCAATCTTTCATTTTGTAGTCTTTCTCAGTTCTTTTCTTGGCTCACATCCAGTGAGACAAAGTATAGTTAAAACAGAATGGGTTTGCAGTTGCATAGACCTGGATTTGAATCCCAAGTCTGCTACTCATGGCATGGCTTTGAATAGTTTGCTTAGCTTCTCTGAACTTCAGTTTTATAATCAATGAAGTGTTTATGGTAATACTTATAGGATCCATTGGAACTAGTACATAATAGACACTCAGCTAGATATTGGCTGCAGCATGACCTATATTTATTGAAAATGCCAATTTAAGATAGGTTTATCAAGACAGTGTAATAGTGATGCAAGCACAGACAAAGACAAGGAACATAATGACGAATTTCAAAATAGACTTGAACAAATATGGTTAATTGATTTTTGACAAAGTTTCCAAGATAATTCAATAGGAAAAAGCTAGCCTTTTCAACAAAGGGTGCTGGAGCAATTGCAAAAAAAATACCCCAAAATTAAAAAACAAAACAAAACAAACTCTTGCCCCATATATTAAGAAGATCATAGACTTAAATACATAAAATGACTAAAATTTTTAGAAGAAATATAGGAGAAAGTCTTCATGACCTTGTGTATAGCAAAGATTTCTTAAATAGGATGCATGGAGCATAACTAAAAAAATTTGATAAATTGGACTTTATCATTATTGAGAAATGTTCTTCCAAAGACCCTGTGATGGAAATGGAAATGTAAGCCATAGAGGACAAAGTATCTATAAGATGGTGTTATTTCCTCAGCACTGCTGCCTCCTGAAACGGCAGTGGAGCACAGATGTGATTTAATTCATTCATATGGCCTTCCTTTCTGTGACACTGGGCACTTCCCAGGCTCTCTGCCCTCTCATTCATTTGTTATGCCATTGTTCACTATCACAATTCTCATGTTTTGCCATGATGGAGGCCTGGAGAAAAGACTAAGGTAGGTGTTAGGAGGTTGCAAACCCAAACATTTAGGTTTCCTTCCTGGGGTGAAGGCTGGGGGACAGAAAGGGCAAGGGCAGTAATGAGCAGTCTGGAGAGAGGTACAGGCAATTCAAGAAGCCACCAGAAGCCTGAGGTAGCCACAGGGACTCTCAGCAATGACAATAACATGCATGAACTTTCTGCCAGCTAGTACTAAGAGTTTTACAGGCATTGTTTCACAGTGGTGGGTCGCTGGAGGAAGCAGGGACAACTTGCAGGCACCCAGTGGAATTTCATCTAGGCTGTCCCCTCCCTGCTCCTGGAATGGATGACTCCTGAAGTGGTAGATTTTGCTCTTCCTGTGTCTCTGACTTGCTGAGTATTTTGGCTTCCATTTTAGATTTGTCTAAGCATGCATGCCTTTTCTTGGCTTTTACTGCTTTGGGTTGTTGGATCCTGTTTGGAAATTTATTTTGTTTGAAACTTCAGCTTCTGATTGATTTCCTGGTAGCAGGCTTTATACTTCCTGCCCTTTGAACCTGGTATCCCTTCTCCCCACCTCCTGTCTGCCTTCACAAATCTTCCAGCTCCCAGTCTGTGACAATCTCTGGGTGATTACTAATCTTGAGTATCCCTAGGTGCACAATCCACAATTTGGGGATCAGCAACTGACAACCATGAGTCCTGAGGATTTCCCTTGGTCTAGTGTTTCAGATACCCCTGGAGGCCCAGATGTGGACTCACACTGGATACAGGTTGAAAAGGCCAGGTCTCCTATGCAAGGGAGCTGTAGAGCTTTTAAGGACTGACACAGTTTTGAGGGCATCTTTATTGGTGAGCAAAATTCCACTGTGTGGATGATCTTGATGCTGGGATTGTTGGCAGAGCCAGCTGAGGACTTAGGGGTGAGCATAGCCCAAAACATTTGGTGACTGGTCCAGAAGGAAAAACTGCAGCAAAGGCTCATGGTCCACTCTTTCCCCAGGTGTCCCATTAGAATTAGGGACAGGCACTAACTCAGTTCCCAGGAAGAGTTCCAGAGCCTGGGCTTTATACATTCTAAATGGGTCACACAACAGCAGAACCATAAGGGGTGTTGCCTTTAGCATTGGCTCACAAGATGGTCTGGCTGCAATTCATAGGTCATGGACAACCAGAGGCAGAGGGTCCCTTCTAGTTCACTTTCGTTTAGAATAAGAGCCTTTCAGAATAAGCATGCAGGGGTTGGAGGGACTGGCATCAGAGCCTTCAACTCCTCCAATTTTGATAAGAGTAGCCATTTAAACCAGAGTCTGTCTAGATGCTCAGAACTTGGCCTGTGCTCAGTGGGCTCATGGGGAGAATGCCAGCTACTTCCATGACCTAATGAGCTGCCAGAAGCAGCACAGGGATGTGTGAAAGACATCTGTGGGTTGCTTCAGAGGAGTGGCTGTTTGTGAGAGAATGGAGCCAAACCTGTTCACAGTATCTATCACCAGAACGACTTTCCACCTCATGCAGCCCTCTGAAAAGAATCTGGAAGATTTGAAAACCAATGATTATAAAAAAATAGACTTGTGAGCTCGATGCATAAGACAGGTGAGCTCTCGCTGCACTTTTAAGAGGTTGACCTGCTCCAGCCAGTCTTCTATCTTAGCACAGTTAAGCTGAAAGGAAGTGGAGTTTCAAGGGTCCATAGAGCTGCAGCTGCTGAAGCTCCCCCAGTGATTTTAGAGATCATGGCTCTGAGGTGTGGAACAGTTAATAAAGGATTTACCGATGTTCCATAGTTAGTGGAAGAGCTGAAACTTAAGCCTCAGTTTCCTGACAATAAATCCTGCTCTTGCCTCCAAAATTCTTTCATTCAGATAATGGGCTTTGACTGCCTCCAAAACCCGTATGAAGCAGAACGGTTATGCCCCAAGAGGGAAGTGAAGCATGAAGTTATTTTCAATGAGGATGAACTTTGGGGTAACAGTTGCAACTTAGTACATTCTTTTCCCTGTTTTCATGGCCACCTGAAAGTTCTGGCTTGGGACTGTGGTGTGAGGAGTGGTTCCCACTTTCCAGTCTTTTTCTTTGCACAGCTGTAAAGTTCAGAGAGTTGGACTGCAGTGCTTTGAGTTCACTGCTTACTCTGCCATGGTCAGCCACTGTTGTAAATCTTCCCCCGGGAACACGTGACGATGCACTTTCCTCACTATATATCCCAAGCACCCCAGCACAGCTGTCAGAGTGGGAGCCGGACACAGACGAGCAGAGCTCTCTAACTCGAGAGAGGAATTCAGGACTGGGGACAAATCATCAGCCTTTGGTAAGTCAGCAATGCCATCTGCTCCAGAAACCCTGCAAAGAGTAATATTTCTGGCCACGCACAGAGGAACTTTTCTTTCTGTTTCTTTTTGTTGTTGTTGCTCTAAGAAAAATTTGCTTTGAATTAAAAACGTTTAAGTTTTAGGAGCAAAATGTGAACTGTTTCTACTCTGCCCGTTAAAGTGTGTCTCTGTTTTTTGACATATTTCTTTTCTCTATACCTCCCGGCATTCTACTGAAATTTTTTAGAGTATAAAAATAATGCATGCTCATTTTATGTCATGCAAATAAGACAGATGTATATACAATACTGAGACACTAAAGTGAAAATTCTTCTTACCTTCCCGGGTCCGCTCCCTTTCTTCTCCAGGCTCTCCAAGCTTGCATAGCTAAACCCTGTTAACTGTTTGGTGGGACTTCTTGCAGCTACTTCTTTCATGCATTTAAAGCTTTTTTAGTATTGCAACCTCAGAAACCCCGACCTCACCCTCCTCTGCCACCCTGGAGCGGGAGAGCTCTAACCTGCAGCTCTCTCCCCAGACCCTGCTGTTCCAGCAGCCTTCAGGGCTGAAGATGGAGCCACTCAACAGCACCCACCCCAGCACGGCAGCCTCCAGCAGGCCCCTCCAGTCCCACGTGCCCAGCAGTGGCAGTGGCAGTGGCAATGAGTATTTCTATGTCCTGGTTGTCATGTCCTTCTACGGCATTTTCTTGATTGGAATCATGCTGGGCTACATGAAATCCAAGAGGAGGGAGAAGAAGTCCAGCCTCCTGCTGCTGTACAAAGATGAGGACAGGCTCTGGGGGGAGGCCATGAAGCCACTGCCGGTGGTATCCAGCTTGAGGTCGGTGCAGGTGCCCATGATGCTGAACATGCTGCAGGATAGTGTGGGGCCTGCGCTGTCCTGCACGCTCTGCTCCATGGAGGGAGACAGTGTGAGCTCTGAGTCCTCCTCCCCGGATGTGCACCTCACCATCCAGGAGGAGGGGGCGGACGACGAGCTGGAGGAGACTTCAGAGACGCCTCTCAATGAAAGCAGCGAGGGGTCCTCGGAGAACATTCACCAGAATTCCTAGCCCCCCCCCACCCGGACCCCTCAAGGTGACTCCGTCAGCCAGCGCCCTCAGAGAGAGGAAAGACATTTTTCAAGTGTCTGTTTCACTTTTTTTTCAGTGCAGCTGTCACTTTGAAAAGACTCCACCGCAAGCCCCCAAAATGGGGTAGGGTGGGGGACAGGGCTCACCCAGAGTCCTCAAGGTCCCTGCCCGAGGTTTGGACCGGCCCCTGAAAAAGCCCTGAAGATGTGCATGTGCCATTTACTTTGGGGCCTGAGTGTGGGGTTCCTGTCCAGAATATGGCAGACTGATGTGTTTGCCATTTTCTCACTGGATGCCCTGGGTAATTTCTGCACCATCGTTTCTGTCCTAGGGCCACCAAATGCCTAGGGCAGGCTGAGGGACTAGTTTTGATTTGCTAATTGCCTAGAGCTTTGTTCTTGTAGATCTGATTGGCTGTAAGTATCTCTACTGTGCACCTGTGATGTTAGATCACAGAGGGTTACAAGCTTCTTTTGGAAGTCTTAGATCAGAGGGAGAAAGCTTGAAGGAGTATTTTTTTGATGGGAGAAAGCTAGAAATCTAGACCTAGCCTATTTGTCCAATGTAAGCCGGGGGGGGGGGATAAAAGCAACTTTTAAACTTGTTAACATTAGCTGGGGGTATAAGAGATGAACTGGTATTGTGACTTGTGGTTGTCCAGCATGCTGGCATGACTTTCTTGTGGTCAGAGAGCTTCCCTAGAGTCTATACTCTGAATGGCCATGCAGAGGGCTCTTCCGGATCTTTCCATAAGGGGTGAGAATGGTGGGTTAAACAAGTCCGTGCCATTCCCTCTGCTCTTGCTCATTTTCCCAGCCTAGTTTTTTGAGCCGGGAGAAGCCTACTACGGGGCCTCAGAATGTGGTAATTTGTCATGTAGCTTAGTCCTAGAAGGGCACATTCAAGCTGGGCCCAAGTTCTGTGCTTACCGATCCAGAGCCCTGACGCTCATTTGCTGTGTGGTCCTGGGCATGTCGTCAAGAGGTTTATTGGCTTCATGGGGCTCTGGAGGATGTGTAACCCCAGGGGGCTGGGAGGATGTCTTTCGATTTTAGAGTCTGTGATAAATCCTCCATGGCCTGGTGTGCAGAAGCTTGGACCAAATATTTCCCCTTTGGCTGGTTAGTCTGTAAAAAGGACCTGTTGATTTAAAGGAGCAGTTGGAGACTCTGAATACATGTGACTAGGGAATTCAGGGCTAATCACAAACCATCCCCACTGTAGTTTTCCCTGGGTTGAACCAAAGAGGCAGATACTGTACCACATTTTGGTCTGCAAAGTTCTCTGCGTGGTTAGCTGTTAACACTCCCAGGCAAGGAAAAGAGAAATCTAAAAGGAAATCTCACAACTGCTTGCCAATGTCTGCATGTACAGTATTCTTGTGATCAGCAGCTTTATAGTACAAACTTTTAGCCCTTGAAGATAAGGCATAGCAAAATGTCAAATTTAGTTGTAGGAAAAAAAAGCCTTTTTGTTATTATTTTTTGAACATACTCTCCCTGGATTGGAGACAGCAGTGAGTATAGTTCCCATGGAAGGGTTAACAGTGTCGGAACTGGTTTATCAGTTTGCTTTGACATACAGCCAGAGGAAATTTATGTTTGGGGGAACAGGGTTAAAATTCACTTTAAAATTCAGAGTATAGATTTACTCCAAAGGGGGCTGTTTAAATTGAAAGAAGCCAAGTTAAGTTTGGCCTCTTGCCTGGAATCACTTGAATTCTGAAACTTTACTGCGACGGACATGTGCGGTGTCACATTTTCCATTGCTTAATCCTGAAGTTTGGTGCAAGTCTATCTGCGCCTGTTAAAAAGTGATGTATATATTTCTTTCTTATTCTATTGAGTTGTATAGAATTGTCTTTTGTATTTAATGCTTTGTAATTTTCACAATATTTTTAATTTAAATAAACAAACAAACACATTTTCCAAGGAAGTCTTGAGTTCTTTGATTCCTCAATACAATTCCTCAGTTTGAAGACATCACAGACATATGCTCCAAGCCATCTCTGAACTGTACTCTTCTTTCCAAGGCAGATGCTCCCTGAGCCATGGGGTGAGCCAGGCATGGCTTTTCCATCCTTTGATAGACTTCAACCTGCTTTGCAATGAATGGAGATCAAGCCAAGGATGGTCCTACAGCAGCATCTCCAAAGGCTGTGGAGCTTTTGGGCTTGAGTGTGTAGTAACTTGGCTAGTGTTGTTCAGATGTTGCTCCAAATTGGGTTGCAAGCAAACACTTGATGTGCATGCTGACTTGACAGATGTTATCCACATGTGTGGTCCAGCGGCTGGCTAATGGGTAGGGTGTTGCTGTACATACAACAACACAAACTTATGAACACGGTGAGGCACAGAGTCCGGGAGATGGGATGACTCCCTCTCTCTGAGTCTTCTTCCTGTGGAGACTGATATCTAGGTTCCTCCGCCTTGGCCTCGTTGTGGCTTTTGCCTACAGGTTGGAGCATGCCCAGAGGGCTTCTCTTTTGTGATTTTTACATGGTTAAAGTGCTAAAGAAAAATTACCAAAATGCTGACCCATTTTGGAATCAAGCAGATGGCTGAAAGCCTCCTTACTTTTACTGAGTAATTCTTTTTTTTTTTTTTTGGTGCCGGGGATCGAACTTGGGACCTTGCGCTTGCAAGGCAGGCGCTGGAACCACTGAGCTAAATCCCCGGCCCCGCCTCCTTACTTTTATATTTCCTGTGAGCTTAGTGTTTATATTTCAAGAAAATATTCCCATTAGGCTCTCAAATAGTTGTCTACCTAAAAGATTTACCTGGCAATGGAACAAAGGAACCCAGAACCTATCGAAAAATATCCAGAAACTTTAACTCACCAGTTGATACTCTGACGATGTCCGATGAGATAGATGATTTTAGAAGATTAGAAAGCTTTTAATTTTTCCCAGCTTAGTGTCATTCTTGGTAAGGAAATAGTTAAGAAAAACTTTTTCTTACCATGGCCCGAAGAAGAGGGAATTCTAAACTCTAATTGCCCTAAAAATATGCAGAGTACACTATGTTGTTTTAATGGAATATTTGTTTTCTTAAAAAAAACAAAACTTCTAAGCAGAACCTAAGGCCCAAGGGGTTTAGTCTGTGTGGACTTACTCATGCATGTGAAAAACCAAGGAGGGAATTTGGCGCTGTGCACCTAAGATATTAGAAACATATTTTAAAAGCTCTACAAAGTGAAGGGATGAGGTAAATGGACCCTCCTGCTTGCTCCATGCTGTTCTAATTACACCTTTGTACGTCAGCGTCAGGCAGGGATGCTGCAGAGAGACAGATTTCTTTCGTGGATAGCATTATGGGATCAAAACTATCGGGAAGAGCTGAAGTGAGGCCAAGGAATGTGTGCTCTTGGCTCACAGTCTTGGTTGGAAAGTGGACCCTGCGATGCATTTAGAGCTATGATTGGACGGCTCGTGGTCAGGCATGCACGTCCAGGGCTCAGATGAGAAAATGCAGAATGCTGTTCTAACCCTAGATATTGTGGAACAGGCAGAATGTAGAACTTAGAATGTAATTGAAGTGCAAATTTTACACACAGCATTTAACCTTTCTCTATACCCTTACGTTAAGTCTGGGCTCTGGGCTGGAGAAGATCACAGGACAGAGCATGCATCCTTGGACTGGACAGGAGGCAGAGTCTAGAGCTGCAGGGACATGTGTCAGTAACTGACCGAGATGGTAGCGCAGGCTGGGAGTGGATGGCAGAAGAGCAGGGTGGAGCCCAGTAGACACTCGGTCTTGTTATGTCTGGCTTTTTAGGCTAACTCTGCTCGGTAGCCGTGGGGAAGCTACCCAACCTCTCTGACCTCTTTCTTTCAGCATGAGGACACCATGCTGGCGTCTGTGTTTGGGGATCTGTTCATGAAAAGAATGGTGAACTGGCCCTGAGAAGCACTGAGCGCTGCGTGAAACTAAAGGAAAACCAGCCCCAGGCTTCTACTTTTAAAAACACATCCTGGGCATGCATCTGCAAATAAAGTCACAGAAACATCCTATCCTGTGGACAGTTTCCTCAGGAGACTGCAGTTTTCAGAAAAAGGACACAATTTGCCAAAGGAGAAGGGTCATCAGAGAGAAAAGCCACTGTTAAATGTTGCCTTCCCTCATTACTGAAATGTTTCCTCCCACACAGGAAGGAACAGTTTGGGATGTGAGCTGTTACCATGGAGACAAGCAGCCAAGGTCACTTGATTGAAGGAGCCCCTAGTCCACTGGTACTGGATTGTTGGGGCCATTTTCTGAAGTTGGGGTTTGGTCCTTGGTTCACATGATAAACTTTAAGCTTGTTGTAGCCTCTATTCATAGGCAGAAGAGGGGTACATGGACAATATTACCCTTCTGTCCTGCACAATCCTGTCCTCTCTCTCTGCACTCTAGAACTCCTGTTGTACTAACCTTTCCCCTCTCAATGCAGGGCTAAGCTTCTGTTCTCCCATCCTTAGCAGCTGATTTTCTTACCTTGCACTCTCATGGTCAAAGAATTCTTCACATCAATAACTACACTCCTTTCTTTTCTGCAATGATTCTCCATCCCTTTCATTCTCCCTCCTGATCTTCCTGTCTCTCTTCCATCAACCAAAAGGAGAAAAATAATAGCAACTGCAGGGCATAATACTTATTCAGTTCTTAATACACACCATGCATTGACTTCAGCCAACATTTCCGACTCTGGGCTTTGAGCTTCTACTCAGTTCTAAGCCCTTCACTAGGCACTGCGGAAAATGTAACACTTTCCTGATCCCTGAAGAGGTCAGAGCCTCCACAGAGATGAATTCTAGTAAAATTAACTGTCTTTGGATAATTTATAACATTAACTGAGAATTTCTGTGTGGAGGTTTGCTCTGGCTTTAGATAGGGTATGAGAATACATGGTAGTGTCTTTGAACAATTTGAGACACTGATATAATCAAATGGAAAGAATGAATGTAAAGTTTATCTAGTATTTGTTTTGCTCCATAATGCCCCATTTCCCTGAAAATAAGACCTAACTACACAATAATCAGCCTTAAAAAGTAGATATAAAAAATGCCAGCCCAAATCAGGCTATCCTTGCCTTACCTGACCTATAAAGTACCCACAAGACAAGAGAATAGTGATGTCGGGGAAGGCAAGGATTGGCTGATTGAAGCTGGCATTTTTGATCTCTAGTTCTCAAGGCTGATTTTTTCCATTTAGGTCTTGTTTTGGGGAAAACACAGGACACTTTCCCTTTGAATATCTCCTTTTCCCAAGGAAAGTGTGAGACAAGTTTATAATACTCTTAATCCAGGTTAGAGGCTTAAGAAAGTTAGTTGCTGGTTAATGTAAAGAATATAAGGATTCAAATGCAGGTCTTCTGATATAAAACCTAGAATTCTCTTAATTACTAGGAATAAGGGGTCATGAGACATGGAATCCAGTCTTGTTCTAGACATTAAACAGGTTGGTGGCATTGCATATGTTGGTCAGTTTCTCGGAGCACACTTTTTCTGGTGAAATGTGCATAGCAGTGTCTTTCCTACTGCTCTCAAAACATTTCAGCATTGCCTAGGAAGCATTTGGGGAAGCAAAGTCTTTGTCTTTGATTGGGAACTGTGTGTAGACATTATTGGGGCTCACCAACCTCTACCTCTTTGCCCTTTTCAGAATGTGGGAGATTTTACTTCTCAGCCCCTCTCTTGCTCCTCCACTTCTACTGCCAGGGCTTTTAGTGAATATAAACAGAGTGGAACTTACATAGTTCAGTTCTGAGTTGAGTCAGTGAAAAAGCCATGCACGATTCTCTAGTCACCCTCTTTATCCACACGTCACAATGAGGCCACAAGCTTCAGATGGTACAAATAGCAGGTGAAGCCTGTGGCAGCATACAGTAAAGGATTACTGTGTGGACAGCAACTGTTCTGGAAAGTTGCCTAAACCTGAAGCTGGATTTGTGGAAGAAATAATAACTCTAAGTTATGGCAATGGAGATGTCAGGGTTTTTGGTACTGTAGCACAACCTCACTGATCGGATTAATATGACCATAAGAGAGAGACACAGAATGTTGGAAGACACCTTCTAGATCATCTAATCCAATCCCTCCATTTCCTACTAAGGGAAGTAAAGCTCACAGAAGTGATGTGACTCCCTTGAAGACACACACACACACACACACACACACACACACACACGTGAGCAAAGTCGGGGTTGTAACTCAGGATTCCTGACATTTGGTCCAAGATCCTCATGTTGAGCTTGTCACAGATGTCTCTCCTAAGGCTCAGTGAAGACCACAGCCTTCAAGAGTGTTCTCGTCAAAGCCTCTCACCTCGAGCTGCCCTGAGGAACATTGAGTCCTTGGTGCTGCCCCTATTTAATGGTCCCAGGAACCTTGCTGGCAATTGCTGTTTCTTCTGGCCAAATCCTGGGTCTTACTGCCCTTTTTTGGGGAGTGGATATGAGTGGGCAGGAGTAAACATGTTCCTCAAAGCAGCGTGACCTCACTGGAAACTTTAATACAGGCAAAAAAGCTATAAATAGGAGGAGATATTAAAACAAGGATGAATGTAATTGTCCTGCATGAAACCCACTGGCTTTGGGTTTTCATTGTTATATTTTTGTGTAGTTCTGCTCAGCACCAGAACAAGTCCTGTGTATTTGCTTCCTTTCACACAGAATGCTTTTGGATCTGATCTGCCTGAGTGATGATATATCTGAGTGAAGGCAAACACAGGAGGTTCAACCCTAATTTGAGGTTTTGGACAGTGCAGAAATTAATGGGCACACCACTGACCATTATTTGTATATGCTTGGTCTTAATATTGAAGGAAACTCTCATACTCTCATGTTACCGTCCTTTTTTTTTGTTTTTGTTTTGGTACCGGGGATTGAACTCAGGTCCTTGTGCTTGTGCAGCAGGCGGCGAAACCACTGAGCTAAATCCCCGC